TAGGCAGCTTTGAAGTAGGGTTCTTTAATTTTAGACACCCTGTATATTTGCTGTTATGACAAGAAATTTTTCCAAGCGATAATTTGCGTGATGATACGAATTCTCATAGAGCTATTCATACTGAGTCAGAGGGGCTATATATTTCATTTATTGACTGTCAATTTTCTACTTCAGAAGATAGCAGTACTATAAGAAATCTCAAGAAATCAAATCACTTGGGCTAGACTCTTTTTCCAATGAAATTATACAGCACTTCCATGCAATGGATAGCCCTTTTTTTGCACAGATTGTTCAACCTTTGTTTATCATTTATTGTCTTTCCAACGCACACTGGAAAAAAGCTCGGGTTGTTTTAATCCCTAAAATTTTCGATGCAAGAAATACTTATCCTGACAATATTAAATCATTAACCTATTACCCAGTTTGGAGAAATGTCTTCAATCTCTCTTCATTAATAGAATAAATTGGCATTTGAGAGAGAAATATTTTTATATTTCTCGGTTCGGGTTTACTACTTGGAAGTCTATTGAAGACGTCTTTATTCATCTTAGTTATATCTTGCAGTATGGAATGCAAATGAAATTTTTAACTGTTCTTATTTTTCTGGATATCAAATGTACTTTTGATAATGCTTAGTGGTCATCTAACTTAAAAATTCTAAAAGATGCATGTGTACCGTAGACTAACTATAATCTACTTAAAAGCTTCTTAAACGGATGACCTCTGAGCTTCAGCTTGGGTCGGAAAAGAAGGTTTATTCTCTGGAAAAAGGCTGTCCTTACGGCTCTGTGTTCGGTTCTACTCTTTGGAACACAATAAGAAAGTGTCTTTTCAGTCATCTCGACGTTTATTTAAAAACTGCATTTGAAGACGACTTAATTTTAATTTTCCAAGGAAAGCTTTTGACTAATATTATTTTGAGATTACAGGCAGTGCTGGATTTTGTTCCCAGCTGGGCGTTCTCTCATAAACTCACTTTCAGTCCTTCAAAAAGCAAAGCTATGGTTGTTTCCAGGAATTTTGATGAAGAAAATATTGCTTCTGTACTACATAAAGATTCTGTTTAGGATTTTGTAGACAGTGTTAAGTATCTTGGTGTGGTACTTGATCAAAACTTAACATGAAAAAAGCACATCGTATTCCATTATACTGAATGGAAAAAAAAAATAATGGTTTTTCACAGACCTTCCAAAAATACTTTTAGAGTAATCTATGAAGTCAGGAAACTGATCTATAAGCAGTGTATTTTGCCTTTCATTTCGTACGGCTCTTGTGCTTGGGGACATGTTCTTACAAAGAGGGTTAACAAAAGCAATCTGAGAACGATTCAACGGAAAATTCTTCTTCGTATTATTAGTGGTTGTAGAACGCTAAGTCATAACGTTACTTGTTCTTGCAGGAGTTCCACCTATTGATTTAGAAATTGACTATAAGAATAATATTTTCGAGGCATTGGCAACTGATACTTTGGAAAACTGCATAAATGGAAACGTCCCTTAGAGCCCATAAATTTCTGCGATGATAAAGAGATTATTGAAAAATGTTTTCATCTGGTTTACAGATGGCAGTAATATGAATAATAAGGTTGGTCTAGCATTTGTTCTTTTTGAACACAAATCTGAGATTTGTTATTTTAAACACCGTATTTGAAATGAATGCATAGTTTTGAAGCAGAACGTTTATGTATTTATCTCGTCGTCAAGCGGATCAAAGATAATGAGACATTATATATTCCTTAAGGTACCTTATATGTTCTGATTAGCTTTCTTCACCTTTTGAACAGTACTGCCAGCGGCGAGAGGTTAGTAATCGACACACTGTTAGCTGTTAGGCGCTTTATAAGCATTTCGGTGCAATAACCGAATAGTTATGACACAAAGGACGCATTTGGATGATTTTTATGTGGTAGAATTATCGGCCGTCTGTAATGTGGGCGTACCCAACTGGAAGTATCAGACGAACTTGGAATTGCCCAGAGTGTCATCTCCAGGCTTTGGCAACGATTCCAAGATGATGGTAATGTGAGAAGACGTTACAGCACAGGTCTCCCCAGAGTTACAACGCCGAATGAGGACCGGTATTTGGCAGTTACTGCCAAAGAAACAGGCGGAGCACAGCCTCAGACCTGTCTCGTCAGCTCTCTTCAGCCACTGGTAAGACAATTTCAAGGCAGACCGTGTACAGACGCTTATGGCAGATTGGTCTATATGCTCGTAGACCTGTCAGATGCGTTCCACTTACTGCAACTCACTGTCGCCTGCGGTTAGCCTGGAGTAGAGAGCATGCATTGTGGACACAGCAACAGTGGGCTTGTGTGATGTTTTCCGACGAGTCCAGGTTTAGTTTGCAGTCTGATTCTCTCCGGACTTTCATATGGAGAGCTCCAGGTACGCGTTACCACCAAGCAAACATCATTGAACGACACCGTTACGGTGGTGCAGGAGTGCTCGTTTGGGGTGGAATTATTCTGGGTTCCAGAACTGACCTGCATGTTCAAATCGGAACCATGACAATCCAAATCTATCGGGACGTCATTCTGGAACAACATGTACGTTTGTTTCGGGGCGCCATGGGCGCACAATTTGTGTTTATGTATGACAACGCCCATCCTCACCGTGCAAACATCGTAAGCGAATGCCTTCAATCAGAAGATAGCACCCGTATGGACTGGCCAGCATTCTCACCGGACTTGAATCCAGTAGAGCACGTGTGGGACATGCTTGGCCGAAGAGTTGCAGCCCGTCAACCTCCTCCTACATGTCTAACGGAACTTCGGAGAGCATTGCTTTTTGAGTGGTGTAATATCCCCCAAGATTAGATCGATAATTTGATACTCAGCATGCCTAGGCGTTGTACGGACTGTATTGCATCGTCTGGGAGACATACAATGTATTAACAATCATACTAACCATGTAATATTGGTTTTTTGTAAACAGTTTTTTTTTGTAATTTGCTCCAGGGAGAAAAAATCGCTAATTGTTTAATAATATCAAACATATAGCATCTTTGTTTGCTCTTTACCTTTTGTTTAATAAATAAGCTTTACAAATAAGTCAAAGTTGTTTTGCTTCTAACTCTTCCTTTGCCTGATTTTGCATTATCCTTAATTTATGGACATAGTGTATAAAGCTTAAATTCAAATAAACTAATAAGCAAAGGCTACAAAGAGCAATTTAACGCGAAGTTATCTCTAACTTCATCAGCGTAGATTTCAGCTATCAGCAGTTATAATGCAAGGTCGAAGATGGGAACCCTCAACTAAAGTAGCAAACCTAGTAACGTATCCTCAAGAGGCAGAACGTCTTAACAATTTCAAAACTTTACTTAGGTACAAGCGAACTAATTTGTATCCTGGCAGGAAAACGGAAAGCGAGAGGTGACAGCACCAATAAGGACAAAACTGAAAGGATTTTAATCAGGTTCTTTTACAGTTCATAATAATCCTCTTCTGCATTTATGCACAAATTCCAGGGCTTGCTCTATAATTATTGCTCCTTGTAAGTAGTTGAAATATGTTTAGCATCCTCTGTGATTTGCCAGGGTCTCCTCTGCAGAATCAAAACTGTAATTTTTAAATTTGGATTTCACCCTCGGAAAAAATATAAATAAAGTGAAAAGTAGTCAAATTAGAAGAGCAGAGAGATGAAATACTAGTGCAATTTTCATTTCTTTGGAAATTTTGCTTCTGCAGGAGCAGAGTGACGTGGGGAATTGTAGTCAATTGTAGTCATGAAACAATCATTTCCCACCCTTTTACAGCTGAAGGCTTCTATGACGAAAGTCCTCTCCCCACAGCCTCTAAACTTTGCAACAAAATGCTGCATTGGTCTTCTAACATCGAAGAACGAATTCCCGGCAAGTAGTTTCCTTGATGCTAAAAAATATATCAACCATTCATTGCACTTCTGACTGTCTTTGGCCTCTTTGGTGTTGGATTTTAGTTAGAACCATTTGTTTCGTCTTAAGCCGTCATACCTATGAAGAAAAAGCGTCATCCTATTTTCATCCGTCAGCTTGAAGGGAAAATCCCAGAGAAATCCAGACACACTTGCATTAAAGACTGCCAAGGAATGCGCTAATTATGGTGAAAACGTTGAGATCAATTGATGACAACAGAAGATTATTTTAAATGAGTCTTTAACCCTTTCCGGCACGCTACCTTTCAAAGTCGGAAATTTGATTTAAAAAAAAAAAAAAAAAAAAAAAAAAGGTAGGCAGTCTAATTAGACCTAGAGGAGTACACAAGTAAAATTTTGTGAAGATGATCATTTGTCGTTTAATTCTGTGGGTGTGGCCCAAAGTGGGCACACTGATTGAATAGAGCTCGAAAAGAGTGCTGAAACCGAGCATTGTTATCAATGAACTGACTGATGAGATGCGGAGAAACAAAGAATACAGACTCTCAGTTGTCCTAGATTATCGGTGAGCCCGTTCTGGGCACACCTAGGGTTCGCCGTTTGATTTTAAGCAAGATTTCAAAGTAAAATTTTAAGACTAATATAGAATAAGAAGATTAGCATGCATCCAAAAATAACATAGAAATTCCTTTTCAAACAATTCCTTATACACCCTAAAATAAATCTGGAAGATTTCTTTGAAAAATGAGGGTCTTAAAAAATAAACATGGCTAAAATATACGGACTGGTTTGTGTTGAGCTGCCATCTACTATAAATAAAGAAGGTTCAGAAAATGCCATCTACTATAAATCCTTTTTCATTCAATTTTTATGTACGTACAGAAGGAAATTTTTAGGTGTGTCCAGACCGGACACACTGTGCCGCAAAGGCGAAAAGCCTTTCCTATTGCCAGCTGGACATGTTATCCAACTAAACTAAGAAAACACGTCAGAAGGAAGGTAAAATGCTTTATATGCTTTTTGTATAAACATTAATTGTCTAACAAAATTATTTGTATTTGTATTTAAGAAAACTTTAATTTGCAATTTCAACTTCAATTTTTACGTGTTTATAATGATTAAAATAAATCTCCGCTATTTTAGGTTTTGGAAGGAGATACTAGTTACGGTTTTCCTCCTAGAGCCAGTCAAGCGGACGAGCCATTACGCCTGGCTTTGAAAAATGGTTATTATAAAGCAGCAGAACTCTTGTTGAAACATGGAGCAAATCCAAATACCGAATATTACCTGGGTCATGAGATTAATTTGCTAAATCCGTTAGATATTGAGGCTGTGGATCTGTTGTTGCAGTATGGTGCTCATCCTAATGCTAGAGACCGACAAGGAATGACATTGCTTATGAAGGTAAGATTTCACTATAAAGCGATTTTATTAATTTCTTATGGATACCTTTTCTCATTAGCTTTCCTAGCTTTAACTTCCTTTTATTAACTGCCGCGTTAAGTCCAAATAAAATAACAGGTTTTTGAAACATATCATCGTCTTTAGGATTTCACTCGTCGTTTGATAATTATTCATTTCGGTCAGTCAGAGCTTGTAAGAAGAGGAACGCAATAAAATATTGCTTATCTTGAGCTTATACGTTATAGTTTCATTTAACTTTGCAGGTAGGTACTGCACATCGCTAATTAAATAAATGTAGCTATTCTGGTAAAACAGTCACAAAAATTTTTCTTCAAAGAACTGCAATTTAATGTATATGAGCAACAGTTGCGAAAATAAAGGCCAGGTAAGGACTTTCATGAGCATGGTGTCTAGTCTCCTTATAGTCTGTGAATATTGTACTGTATGAATGATGCGTTATATATGTAATACGTTTTCTTAACATTTTGCTCATGGTGAGTGGTCATGGTGAGTGGGTGAATTTTCTTGTAATACTGGAGCACACTGCTTAAGCTGCACATCAAATTCTCTCATCTCTGCATCACATGCATTTTCAGATGGTTCAATACACTGACTACCAATAAGTATTTTGGACACCTTTGCAAATGACGATATCTGCGCTCCTAAGGTACGTCACGGACTCCGCCGGTATATATCGTGTAAGAAACAGCATCGGCTTTAGTCGCATGCAAGATGCCTCGCAGTTCGGAGCTCTCTGATTTCGAGAAAGGTATAATTATCGGGTATCACAAATGTGGCCGATCCTTAAGAGACATATCTAGCGATCTGAAGTACCCAAAATCGACAGTGGCCTATGTGATTAAGAAGTGGCCTATGTGGACTGGCCTGCCTAGAGTCCAGACCTGAAACCTATCGAAAACCTCTGGGACGAGTTGCATTGCCGAATTCAGGGGTGAACCACCCGTGCAAAATCGTGAAGGAACTTCTATGTCTTCTCCAAGCCGAGTGGAAGAAAATACCACTAGCTGTCATACAAAGACTTGTGGAAAGTATGCCCCGGAGGGTCCACGCTGTAATTACCTCTCGCGGAGGCTCTAATAGCTATTGATTTTGAATAAAGTTAGTTTTTCTTTTCTATCACAGGTGTCCAAATACTTATTGGTAGTCAGTGTACTCGCTAACTGCGACTTCATAACTTCACTATCAGTTTCTACCAACTTTACTGTCGCATTTTCGTGTTCTCCCATCTCTACTTCAGGCATTTGAGAATCAGGAACTTTATTTACATGAATTATTTCTTCACTTCTTTCAGAAGATTTCAAACCACTTCGTTAATTTCTTCATCTTTACAAACAATATTATCACTGTCTTCCAGTTCAACTTCGCCCACCAGCGGCCGAACGGTGAAGTCGCTAAATACTGGTAGTTCGGTCCGATGTTCGAATCCCGCGAAGGGACTGGCTGCATGGGCGTTTTCGTGGTTTTTCCCATGTGTAACGTGTATACGAGCCAGTTTCCCTTAGTAAGTCCTCCACGAAGGCAACCCTCCCCTTAGGCAGATAGCCCTAGTGTGCTTTCCCATAATTAAATACACCAACACCAGTTCAACTTCGGACACTTGAGGATGAGAAGGTGTAGAAGATACTAATATAGGCAGATACCAAGATCAAAGATACATGATACATGGTGCAGAATATGTTAATGTTACAAGATACGAGATTATATATGCAGATGCGGGATACATGATATGATCCAGAAATACTTATAAATTTTCTGAATATGTGTCGGTCAAATTTACCTAATCTGCTGAAATGCAATCGACAGATAAATATATAGGGAAAAAATTTTGTTAATGACTGAAAGTTATTTAAAATAATTAGTTATCAGGTTCAATGTTTCTTCTAACCTTCTTCGGAAACATACAATGACCTGACTAGAACAGAGAGCTTACTAAAGCTATGTTCACTAATTGTAGTAAGTAGACAGGATACAGACGAAGGGTATACAAAACCCTTTATTTTTCTTTATATACAATGACTTCCGTACTTCGGAATACAATGACCCTCCACTCGGGGTCTAACGTAAAAGATATCAAAATAAAACTAAACTCTAATTTAACTTTAGAATAAGATTGGCCTTATAATAACAGGAAGCGTATGTAGCACAGAGACTGTGAACACTACAATACGTTTAATTTATCAAGAGGATTAAAACCTCTGGCCTGGAAGGCAAAGTAGCAACTGCGTAACTTCTAAGGTAAGCGGCCTGCTTCGAACTCACGGCTTCCTCTCTTCTGCTTGGCAAAAAGGCCACAACTTAAATACTTGGCGTTCGCCAGACAAACTTTGCATAAACTCCTTCACGCTTATAATTCTGGCCGGAAGTAGAAAATAAGAAGTGATAGTAAAGATTTAAAATAAAATAAACGTTAGTAAAACTTAAGATCCTTACATACTTCCCGCCAGAGTTAATTAGTTTGAAACTGAGGTCTAAAACGACCTTGTTGAAAACTTTTAGCTCTAGAATCTAACGCGAGGCCAATCTTTTACAAACATTAACTTAGCTAGAAACTAGAAAATTTTAAAAGAAAGAAATTTGTTTTTACAATAGCAGCTCCCGGAATATACAACAATTTTTTTCTTTTTTTCATCTGTACTGCATCTAAACAGGAGCTTTATTCAATTCTGGTTCCTTCCAGAGATCTGGAAGGAAAACTAGTTTAATGAAATGTTACACAATGACATTGCAAATAACATATAGAATATACTTTTCTTAACATTCTTATTTCATTCATGACTATTTTAATTATCTCTCCCCGTGCTCTCTGACATGTGTTGTAAAAACAACACCAAACACGAATGTGTTTCTGTCTACGTGTTCAACACTTCCTCCTACAATCAAAACACTAACGTGTTAAAATTCAACATACGAGACCTCTTAACACACCCTAATTTCAACTCTAAACCCTGAGGTACTATTCTGAAAGTGGCTAACTCTAAAGTGTAGCGTCAGAGAGCCTAACTACATCATTCAACCTTTAACACATATTCACCATGATTTAATCTTTACAGTCACACGAATAAAAAATTTTTAACATTACTTTCACTTTTACCATATCACGGTATTTCTTAACATTTCAAAATAACAGTTCACATGTATATAAGAACATATCAACATGCCGTTAATTTTACACATTTGAAAACATACATTAGTAGTACATTGTTAACTTCTATTCTTTTCAAAGCAAGTGCCAATTCTTTCTACATTGAAATAATACTACATTTCAAAAAGTCTTTCAGACTAAAACTTCTTTCTTGTTAGAATGTTTTAAATAAAATTTATACAATAACTTTTTACAATATTTAAGTCTTTACACAACGCTATTATACATCAACTTTAGTTTTACGCGCGAGTAATTGAAAAACATAATAAGAAAATCGGTCACAACTCATTTCTCGCCCTTTTGGCGATAAAGGTAGACCTCGCATGAGGTAAAACTTCTTGAAATCTGCCACTTGCAGTAAGAATGAAAGATTAACTTAAGTTTGCAAAGTAACATAAAATTTTACTTATCTTTGTAATATTCGGACATCCTTTTCTGGGCCCAGTCTTTAAAGGTGCTGCAGACCGTAGCTTGGATTTGATCCTCCTTCTTGTACGGGCTCGCCCTTCAGTGCTTTCCTCTGGAAGCTTCCGTTTTTCACCAGTTACGGCCACCCTTGAACATCTTCCTTCTGTCCTCTGCTTGTGGTCTTGGCCGTTTGAAGGCAGCTGGTCTTGGTGGAACCGGGAAACTTCTGTCGTGATCCTGCTTGGACCTCGTTGTTGGCCGTTCAAATTTTCCTTGTAACTTTTTCCTCCGCCGCTGATGGCCCTTCCGCAGTTCGGCGACTTTTGCTGCGGAGAGTTCTGTCGGATGAGTCAGATCTTCCGTTTCACAGCCGGGTTATAGTTGCCGTCCTTTCTCCTGGTCTTTTCCACATACGTCGTCCTTCTCCCTTCTTCATTCTGGGGGTGTTCGTGAACTCTTTTCTGGACGGTGGAACGGCTTCTTTTTCTTTGTACCTTCAATTTTTCCGCGGGGCAATTTTCTTTTCACTTGCTTCTGTCTCTCATTGGCTTGCCCTTGTACTTGTCGTTTTCCCACCTCTGGAACTTGTACCTGCGGTGTCTGCCGTACCGGATCCTGCAAAAGATCTGAAAAGATTTGCATTTTATTACGATCATAGTAGGGTTTTATTTGATCAATGTTTGCGGAACAGGTTTCACCATTTCTTGCCTTTAACACTACAACAGCGTGAGTTATTTTTTCTATAACATATGGTCCTTCAAAGCGTGGAAAAAATTTGGCAGTTTTATCTTCTGGTGCTGAAGAAAGTGAATGCTTAATTTTTAAGTACTTCATCCCCTACTTTATAAGTTACTCCCCGTCGTTTCAAGTCATAATACAATTTTTGTTTTCTTTGTGCTACTTCTGTATTCTTTTTTGCTTCTTTTATTAGTTTTTCTATATCACCCATTTTAAATTCTGGGGCTCTTTGTTGCACATAAAATAATTTATCTAACGGTGTTATAATCTTTCTGCCTAGAAATAACTCAGCAGGAGTTTTGCCCGTTGTATCATGTTTTGCGGTCCTAAGGGCGAAAGCAAATTCATTGACATAGTTATCCCAGCTTTTATGAAAATTTTTAACATAACTACGGATAATTTTCACTATATTTCTGTTGACCCGTTCCGCTATATTTGATTGCGGCCGATACGGGACCATTTTTAAATGACGTATGCCCAGTTTTTGGCACATGTCTTCAAATATATTACTTACAAATTGAGGACCATTATCCGATATAACTTTTAGGGGCGCCCCGTATTTTAAAATATATTTATTTAAAATAGAATCGGTAACTAATTTCGCGGAGGCTCGTTTTAAGGGAACAATTTCGGTCCATTTACTAAAATGATCAACCTATAACAAGGAGATAGCGACTTTTGTTTAACTGAC